ATATAATCTTTAATATTTAATAGCTATTATAGTACTTAAAAGTATTTACTTTAATATACTTTAAGGCTATTAAATCCCTTTTTTCTTACTTATATATTATTATAGATTTAATTATTAATTACGGTTCGAATAAAAATTTAATACTTATTAGGTTTATAGATAGTAATTAGGCTAAGTATAAAACTAATACTAAATTAATATACGGTTAACTATTTATATTTATTGGAGGACCTATTAACTAAAAGTCTAAAAAGGCCTTTACGGTTTTTTTTAATACCCTGGAAGCCGAGTTTATAGGGCTTATAGAGGGCTTTAAGGAAATTATATAGTTTAGGGGATTATTTTAGAAGATTGGTAGGCCTATCCACTAGCCTACCCCCCTATTATATAATAACGAAGGTTCTATTATTACTACTTATAATAGTAAATATAACCGCCGAATAAAATATATATTTATTAAATTCTAAAGGGTTAAAGAAGTTATAACTATTAAAGTAATTATTATTATTTATTTACCCACTAAGAAAATATTAATTAATAGACTTACTAAAGCTTTTCCGGCAGCTCTATTTAATAGATTTATAAAGCTCTTAAATCTCACTAAACCGTTCTAGCTACCTACGTATTACGGCTATAAAGGGGGTATTAAAATATAGTACTTATTTATAGATTTTACAGTATATTCTTTTTCGTGGCTTACAGTACTTAAAGGCTTTAAGCTATAGCGCCTATAACGCCTATAGCGGTTATAAGGAACTATAAAGTTTTTATATAAGCTACTATAGCCAATTAAACCGGTAAAAGTTGTGGGGATTAATAAAGAGGAAAAAGAGGTTTTGGATGCCTATAAAAGGCTCCCCTCCCAGTGTATTTAGAATGATCTTTTTCTTTCTTAAGTTCAAGTTAAATAGTTAAAATCAATATACTGGTTTACTACACTTTTGCAGGGCATAGTTCCCTATACTTACCTTCCTTCGGTGCTACCTCACACCGTTGTACCTCGCAGTTTAAGAACCCCAGAGTCTTTAGGTAATTGCTTCCGACCTACCTGGAAGGCATACAACTAGCCTGCCGACGACATATCTCAACATTCTATATATAAAAAATAATATATTTAGGATATTTAATATCGTTAAATAAAGTTTATATAAAACTTAAAAAAATTATAGTAATTAAAGATTAATTTATATTATAATTATAAATATATATTAAGGAATTTTTAAAGTTTATAAATTTTTATTAAATATTTATTTAAAGGTATATAAATATTATATAGCTATTTAATTATTTAATTAAAAAGGATATAAAATTCCAATAAAAGTAAAAAGAAAAGTAAACTTTTTAAAAATTAAAGGAAATTATTTTAAAGGATGTAATATCTTAAATTATTAAACCCTAATCGATTATTTAAAATCGAAATAAATATATTAAACTATACAATCGGTAAATAATTAGGGTAGCGAAACGATAATAGTAAATTATATTTAATAATTTCTTTTTCGAAAAAGCTCGAAGGGTTATATTAAAATTATTTAATTTACGATAAAAAGTTATTTACTATTATCGAAACGTTTAAAGAATAAAAGTTATATTTTAATAGTACTAAATATAAAATATAAATTTATACGAATTATAAAAATCTATAATACTTTATTATTATAAAAGTTTTTAACGTACGGTAAATATAATAATTAAAAAATTTTTCGGAATTTAATTTTTAAATAAATTATAAGAAAGGTTTGAAAAATATTAAAATAAATATATTTAACCGGTAAATAAACTACTATAAGAATATATTTAAGGAGTTACTATTATTATTTAAAGAAACGTTAAACGGTACTTTTAAGTATTTACTATAATTATAAATAAAGTATTATATAGTATATCGTAAAAAAATTATTTTTAATAAATATTAAAGAAAGTTAAATAATAATATTATAGAATAATATTAATAGGAAAAACTAAAACTATAAAGTATTTAAAAGGATAGTTAAAGAAAATTATAGTATAAAAATCGAGTATATATAATACTAAGTAATAAAATAATATTAGTAATAAAGATTTATAAATCGAAGTTCGAAAAATATATAAATATTATAAAAACTATAGAAAAAATTAAGTAATATTTTATTTAATTAAAGATTAAAAACAACGTTAAAAAAATTATTTAATTATATTATATATATAAAGAAATAAGGGTTACGAAATATAAACTTTATAGATCTCTAAAACTATTATTAATAGTAAACGATTATAAAGTTTAATTATAATAAATTTTATTATTAAATTATTAAAATTTAAAAATATAATAATCGGTATTAAATATAATAATATATTAATAATAATCGATAGGTTTATTAAATAAATATATTTTTTATTTTATAAAGAAATTTAATTAATAAAGTAATTAACGAATATAATATTATAGTATATTATATTAATATATATATAATTAAAAAAGTTTATTACGGATTATAATATTAAATTTATATTAAAGTTTTAAAGAACGTTAATAACGAAACTAAGGGTAATAAATAAAATATTTTCGGCCTACTACTCTTAAATAAACGGTTAAATAAAATAATTTAATTAAATTATAAAATAATATTTATAGAATTATATTAATTTTAAGTAAAACGATTAAATTAAAATTATAATTTATAATATAATTAATATATAATATATTATTAATTAAAACGATTAAAACTATATTATTTTTCGTAAATTTTAAATATAAAGCAGACCTACGGTAAAAATTAAATATAAAAGTATTTAGGGCTAAAGTTAAAGTAAATAAATTATATATATTTTATAATAAATTTAAATAAAAGTTAAAGTTTATAAGGGAAAGAATATAAAAATACTATAATATTAAAAAACTCGAAGGACTTTACTTTAAAGGGAAGAATATAGTATTTCTTTCTATATATAATTTATATATTAAAAAACTTAATAAAAAGCTAGACTATAGGAAAGTAAGCCCGTTTAAGGTTAAAAGGAAGATTTTAAAAACGGTATTTAAATTAAAATTATTTAATATAATATATTTATAATTATATACCTTTTATATTTTACTTTTAAAACCCGTATTACACGTAAGTAAAATTAATATATAGGCCGTAACGGAAGATAAAAAAAAAGTATAATATAAAGGAAATATTAAATTTATAATTTAATAAAAGTTAATTAAAGTATTTAATTAATTAATTAAAATATTTAATTATAAATAATTTATAGGAATTAAAAATAAATTTTAATTACCTAAATAAATAAAAGAATTTTATTAACGATATTTAAACCGACTAAAACCTAAATAAAAAAGACGAGTTTTTTAATTACTACTAAA